GTGTCCTCATTTAACACTTTGTATGCGGGCATTTTCCCGCCAAATCGCGTCGTAACAAAGAGGTCTCTATACCTGAGTTAACTCCCGCGCTTTGGTATCACATTGTTTGTGGGAAACGAGTAAACTTGTCATAGCGCTTTAACTCAGGTATAGAGACCTCTTTGTTACGACGATATTTGGCGGGAAAATGCCCGCTTACAAAGTGGTATAAAAAGCGCTATGACGAGTTTACTCGTTTCCCACAAACAATGTGTTAAGCCTCACCATCCTGGGGGTAAGCATTATCTCTATTTTATGAGAAAAGTAAGGCAAAGATGATAAGCAACCTGCCCAACAATACACAGGAATAAGTGAACCTGAATCTGTTTCCAGAGTCCACCAGTCCACCAGGAAGCAGTGAAATGATGCTGGACAAACAGGCCTGCCAAATGTGTTTTCCTTGGCCTTCAGTTTTCCCTTTTTTTTTTTAAATTGAGCTGATGTTTAAAAATTAGAATGACCATTTTTTTTAAATCCCAATTTCCAGCTTCTTGAAAACCAGATACACTGGCAACATTTGCAGGCCTGGCCTAGATTCCTTATTCATCCCAAAACACCTACTTAATAGCTGATACACACTCTCCAGGTTACAACCAGTTACCATGACTCCCCATGGCAGGAATTTGGCAAACTTTTCCTATAAAGGGCCAGAAACTACTTATTTTAGGTTTTGCAACTTAGGGTGTCTGTTGCAACTACACAACTCTGGCACTGGAATGCAAAAATAGCTATAGACAATCAGTAAACTAACTGGAGTAGTTGTGTTCCAATAAAACTTTATTAACAAAAACAGACAGTAACCCATGGGTTTGCTCGACCCCTGCCCTCCTGCCTCCCCAACATCTATCACTGTGTTCCCACTGTCCTGGAGTTGAGAAACACTTCTCTGAACCCATTTCTCTATCAAAAAGTAACAGAGTGCCTATGTCTCTCTGGCTAGCCTCCACGACAACATGCCTGCTCTCTGCAGGCATGTCAGTCTTTGCCCAACACCTGACGATGAAATACATCATCCAATAGCACAGCAGGCAGCACGCTGTCAGGCCATCCCTAGGAACCCTCACTGCTTCCCAGAGCCCCAGCAGGTGTCAACACCTTTCCCTGAATCAGGAAATCAGGCCCTGGTCTCCCTCTCTACACATCCCTTAGATCCTCTTACCTGTTCCCATGGCTTCAATAATCCCATGCGTGCAGATGGCCCAAATCATTCTTCAGGTGCTCTGCCTAAACCCCTCATGCCCTCTGCTCCAGCCATCAGGAACTCAGGGAGGACCCAAAATAGGCCAGGCTGTTTCATGCCCCTCACCGCCCCCACAGAGTGTCCACCCTGCCTGTACACTCACTCTTCTCTTAATTCCCAGCTTGGGACTCTCTGTGAAAGCATTCCTACATCCACTCCTGCCCTGCAGGGGAAAGTGGCCACTTCTAACAATCAATGTCCTTCCAACATCTGAGTGCAATTATCTACCTGTCTCCTCCACTACGGCACAAGCTCCTTCAAGGCAAGGATATGGTCAGGCAAAGATTTTTTAAACAAGACAAGCAGAACACTGACTATAAATGAAAAAATACATTTCACTATGTTAAAATTAAGAATCGTTGTTCAATAAACATGCCTTAGAGAAAGCAGAAAGATAAGTTACAAGCTGGAAGAAAATTTTTGCAACATGCATAAATGATTAAAATCAATGTATACAGGGCCGGCCAAGTGGTGTGTTGGTTAAGAGTTGGCTTGGGACGCGGGCTCTGAGCAGCAGGGCGCCGGTTCAGAGCCCACATTAGAGCCAGTGATGCTGCGCCCTCTACAGCTAAGATTGTGAACAACAGCTTGACCTGGAGCTGGGCTGCAGTGGAGCTGCAGTGGGCTGCCATAAAGGTACCGTGATCGGCCAGTAGCCGGCGTGAGCTGCCAAGAGCCACCATGAGCGGCTGTCCAGTGGCCGGCGACCGAGCTGCCTCACCTGGGAAGAACACAATGATAATACCAACATGGGCCACTGAAGCAATGTCCTCCACAACTAGACTGAAGAACAATAGGACAGCAACTTGTCTGTTCCCCTTCCCCGATTCCCCAATGCTGTTACCCTCTCCCAATTCCCCAATAAAATCTTTAAAAAAAAACATAAAATAAAAATAAAATAAAATCAGTGTATATAAAGAACTCCTACAAATAAATAATAATAAAGCATCAAAAACTCCACAGAAAATCTGGCAAAAGACATGAACAACTATTTCACAGGTAACACACATGCCAATAAACTTATGAAGAGATGTTCAATGTCAGGGCTGAGAGACACAGAAATCAAGACCCCAAAGATCCTGTTTTACACCCATTCAACTGGCAAAATAAAAAAGTCTGCCTATATCAAGTGTTGGCAAGAATGTGAAACAAATGGAAATCCCGTACACTGCTGCTGGCAGAGTGTAAATTGGTACAACCACCTCAGAAAACAGTATGGAAATATCTACAAAAGTTGAACATTTATTTACCGGATGATCCAACAAAATATCACCCTTCTTATCCAAGAAAACCTTTTGCACACGTACAACATGAGATGTATATGGAAATGTTCTGAGCAGCACGCTTGCAACAGCTAAAAACCTGGAAACCGGAAGTACCCATCACTGGAAGATGAGATGCATAAACTGTGGTGTGTTCATGCCATGGAATATTAGTAGTAAAAACAAATCAACCAGGTGACATGCAATAATATGGATAAATCTTAACAAAATAGTATTTTTTGACTTTCCTTAGGAATACATAGGTACAATAAAACTATATAAAAATGAAAGCGAGGGGATAATGCTTATCTCAGGATGGAAATGGGAAGAAAGATCGCTGATTAGATGTATACTTCTGTTTCAAGCCCCACGCTTTTGGGTGTTTGGAATACGGAAGCTTAGTATATTCATTAAAAATAACAGTATATACACCATGATCAAATGGGATTTATTCCTGGGATGCAAGGTTGGTTCAATATTCACAAATGAATTAACGTAACACACCACATAAACAAAATGAAGGATAACAATCTTATTATCATATCAATAGATGCAGAAAAAGCATTTGACAAAATCCGGCATCCATTTATGGTAAAAAGTAACCTAGCAAATAAATATAAGCGAGCCATGCATGAATAGTGATGAGTGTGTATTAATTTAATTCTCTGCTTACCTGAGGTAAAATTTAAAACAAACACACAAAAGAGACCATTTAATTCATCTTTGTATACCAAGTACAAAGTACAAGGCATGGCACACAATTTCTGTAGGCATGTGTGGAATAAACGAGGGACTCTTCTCCCTAGCTCATGGCCTCCTTCTTGTTGGCACCTTAGGTACCTTCAACATGTCTGAAGCCAAACTCACCTTCCTTCCTAATTCTCCTTTTCCTCCTGGATTCCCTGGCTTCACTCTGTCCCAGGCAGTTAGGAGAAAAACCTGACTCAACCTTCTCTCCCACTGCCCCACAGCTGCCATGGCTTGCTCTCTCCTCCCTCCTCAGCCTCCACTGCCAGCATCTGGTTGGGACCTTTATGCCTCTCACCTTAATAAGTATTCTCTCCCAAATGGCTTCCCCAACTCTTGTCTATCCTTCTAATCCACCTCAGAGACAGGTGCAAGACTGAGCTTCCTGAAGTGTAGTTCTGATTCTGTCTCTTCCACACCTCCCCTGGATTTCTGGAATCAAGTTCAAGGTCCTTGGGTTGACACTGAAAGGCCATCACAATCTGGTCCTTCCCTAGCAACAATATTTGCCAGTGCACTTCCCTTCAATACCCTCTTTCATATACATCGCCCTCTCCCAACGAGTTTAAGTGATGATCTGCTACCCTCGTATACAGTTTCCCCACCTCCATACCTCAGCTCTATGCAGAATCCCATTCATTTGGCAACCCACCCTCACCTGACCCAACTTTCAAGGCCCCATTTAAACATCACCTCCATGATGCCCTGATGTGCCCAATTGAAAGAAAACACCTTTTTATCAGCATTCTGTCCATTTCAGTTTATGTCCATCAACGAGACTATGAGCAAGCTGAGGGCAAAATCTCATGCCTATGTCCCCCTACCAGAAGCTGGAATGGTGTAAGGAAACAGTCACAAAGAGAATAATCCAATTTAATCCATTCCACACTTTCCAGCCAGCATGCTCATTTAAAATGCTCCTCATGGAATTCTTCTGCTAAAATCTTTCTGCTTCCCAGAGCCTTGGTATGGGCCACAACACCCTCCACATTCAGCCCTCTACCCACCTTCCCAGCAACCTCTATCCCACATCCATTCCTTGTTGCTCCAGCCATACTAAGCTACTCACAGTGGCCCAGGCATGCCAGGTAGCTTCACAACTAGCATATGCCAACTCCTTTACCAGACTATTGCCCCTACTAAGTCCTACTCCCTCTTCACAACTCGGCTTGGGTATCATCTTCCAGAAGTCTTCCTGACCTTCCCACCTTCCCTTTTACGCCTTCCTGGACAAGTGGTGGCTCTTGCCTAGTAGTGCCCCCTCAACATGTATCACACTGACACCTTGCCACTGTCTATGGTTTGTCTGTCTTTTCAACCAAATTACCAAGTCCCAGAAGACAGAAAAACTCTTGTTGCTCCTCACTGTACCCCCAACACTGAGCATGTGGTTTGACACCAAGAAAAGTTCATGCAAAAAAGGAAATAAAAATTTCCAATTCAAATGCAGAAATCATGACTTTTGTCCTTCATCCCATAAAGCATGTCTTAAAGTGCAAACCCTGTGGAAAGCACCCTCTAAGACTGGTTAAACAGGAGAAGTCATTGGCAAGAAGCCACTTGAATTTATTTGAGAGAGTTGGCAATCAACAATCTACTCCCAGGGCTCACTTTCATCCTGGAGACCTCGAATTCTACCCTGCCCAGTCCCCACCTTCTCTACTGAAAACCAGATTGAGAAGACAGCAATGTCAAGTCCCCATGGCCCTCACCTTTTCTCTCTGGAGAGCTGGCACAAATTGTCCTTTCTTGATGGAGACACCAGATCCTTAGGAGGAATGACTTGTTCGAGTTCCCATCTTGATATAAAACGCAAACAACAAAAACCAGGCAAATCTGAAAGGCCTGCTGACTCAGCGACACAAATTCCAAGGCACCTTTGCCAACAAGGAAGAAGATGATCAGGTTTTAAATTGAGAAACAGCAGTTAGTGAAAACGAATGCACAGATGTTGGGTCCATGTGCTGCGGCTGGGAACCACCAGATTTATTTTCCAACAGCCTGGGCAGAGCAGAAGGTACAGTAGTCTTCCTCTGCCTACTCAATAATCAAGGGTATGGTTAAAAAAAAAAAAAAAAGAAGAGCCCTCTCATACTGATGCCCAAAAGGACTTCATAAGCCAGTCTGCAGTGTAGGCATCCAGGAAATCAATACACCAGAGAGAGTAAAAGTTTAGCCAAGGCCAAACAGCAATGAACAACAGGCCAACTTTTGGTTACCCTGATGGTTTAAGTAAAGCCTCATTTTGGCTATCAGAAAGTCCACCTTCTAGAACTCTAGAGGAGCTGGGGTGGCATGCAGAAATATTTTGAGTTTCTTAAGGGTTCAAGCGTCTGTGCACACACTATTTTCACTGCTACTGGCACTTAGGGAAGTGGAACCAGTGTGGAGAATAGCTGGCTGAGAAAGTCGGGATGAAAGGGTAGCTCCAGGAAAAGTCTCCTACATCCTCTTCAGCGTACATTATGCACCCTACAAAAGTAACCCAGGGTCTCTGGAAACCGGAGCTTCCGGGAAGGCAGACCCAACTTGGGTCAGGGAAGCAGAGTCAGGTGGCAAAGTCCTCTAAAGTACAGCCTCCGTTCCAGTGAGTCATTCACCTGGAGGCAGACCCCCAACAGAACCCCTATCCTAACCAGGTAGCCTGGTGGTAATATCACCACCGCCTCTTCCAGGTCCTGTGGGAAGGGGTTCACTCCTCCCGACCGACCTAAACTCCCAGGGTCTGCGCCCCTCCCACTGCTAGCCCTGCGGCTTCCACCCTAGCGTTCACCCTCCCAACCCAGCACCGAGTCCTGTCCTAAGCTCCCAGCGCCTCCCAATTCCTCAACTCTCACCTCCGGAATCTCCAGTCTGGAGACCAATTCTCTCAACCCTCCTCGGACCTCACCCCGGGACTCCGGTCCGGCCCGGCCCAGCCCTCCCTCACTCCCACGCCCGCCCCCTTCCGGTCCCAACTCAGTTTGGTCTCCCCGGCGCCCTAGGGACCCCATCTCTGGCGACCGGCAGATGACCTGCCCGCCCACTCTCACCGAGGTTGAGGAGAGCGAGGGGGCAGGCTGAGGGCACCGCCGCGCTCGGGCTGCAGCTCCGGCTTGGCCTGGGAACGACTCCGGCTGTGGCTCCGACTCTGAGGAGGAGCCACAGCCAGAGTGAAACTCCGCGTCGCAGCTTCCTTGCGCTCCGGTGCGCATGCCCAGGGCACGGGGCCTTCTGGGAAATGTAGTTCAGGCGGGGGCGGGGTCCGGGGCGGGGGTGGGGCCGAACCCGACGCGCAGGTGTATCTATTGTTCATCCTTAGCCTGTTCACTTATCGACTTACTCCTTCATTACTTTACTGATTCATTGTACATAGTTTTTACCCGTACATACATGTTTCCAGGCCCTGTACTGTGTACTGAGGATTAGCAGGTCAATCGGAACTTGGTTTCTTTCCTGGAAGAACTTGTATCTAGTTGGGGCTGCAACACTTAAAGATACAATTACAATATAGTGAGATAAATGAGTGGGAACATAGAAGGGTGTACTTAATTTAGGGGGTTGGTCAGGAAGATATCTCGGAAGGGTAATACCTGAGTTGTATTTTTCAAGCCCACATAGGGGTTTGCCAGATGGAATACAAGGAAGCCCATGCAAAGAAAGAGAGATGTGAAAGTGCCTGACACATTCAGGAAGCAGTGAAATGTTCCCTGTGGCCAGAACAGAGGGTACATGGAGGGGGTGAGGACAGAGAAAATGGATTAGGGTGTGGCAGGATATGAGTATGGGGAGAAGGCTGGGTAAGATTATGATGGAACTTTACATGCCAGGAAAGGAATTTAAGCAACTGGAGACAGCACTGACAGTATCAGCACTGAACTTTTAGAAGGATACCCTGTGTGGTGGGTGGAGGATAGATTGAAGGGAAAGAGAAAGGAGTGGGGAGACCTGTTTGGAGGCTGTTGCTGTAGTTCAGGTCAAAGGTGATGAAGCACAAACCAGACAGGTGACTAATCTTCTGGAACCACAGACATCCTTTACAAAGCTAAAGAAAGCTATTCCCAGAAAAATGCTCAGATGTCAGTGCTTACATGTGTGCACACATATTACACACATTTGCATATGGTTTCAAGATTACAGAGTCCTCTGAATCTCGGACTCTAGTTAAGTACTTTTACATAATCTCATGTTACTCATACTTGATCAGGGATTTTGAGGAAGATTCACACTGCTGGGAATGGAGGAAGAGACCTCCCCTTCATTCAGTTCCAAAACTTCATTTTCTAGAAGAGGAAGCTGAGGCCCAGAGAAGGGGGAGTAACCCACCAGAAGTTAGTGAAGGAGGAGAAGCAGCACCTGTAGCACACCAAGTATCTGGTACCCTAGGCCAGGACTCCAACACCTGAAAGCTGACTTACAGGGCACAGGCCTTGAGTCTAGGGAGGCACCAAAGTCAGGTTCTCCCACTTACTCCCAGAGCCAGACCTCCATCAAGAAATGAAGGATAGCATTTTACCTGTGATTTATATTAGATGACTGCAGTGGCTACAACTTAGGATGGGAACATTTCCCTTGCCCTCTCAGTCTCAGTCTTCTCATCCATAACCATCTACAACATTTCTAAAGCACCTAGTGTGTGCCAAGCACTTGACATGCATCACCTCACTGAGTCCTCTCAATGAGGTCAGTGTTATCATTATCCCCATTTTAAAGATGAGGACATTTGAAGCACAGAGCTTAAGCAATGTGACTAAAGTGATAGACACAGTTGGCAAGTGGCAGAGCCCATGTTTAAATCAAGGTAGTATCCAACTCCAGATTTGAGCACCCCCATATGACTGGCCTCATTGGGGGAGGGGGTGCAGAAGACATGGTCTGAACCATTAGAAAAGTTATTCAACACTCAAAATATATTTTCTTTTTTTTTTTAAAGATTTTTTAAATTGGGGAATTGAGGGAGGGGAACAGCGTTGGGGAATCAGGGAAGGAGAACAAATTGCTGTCCTTTCTTTGTTCTTCAGTCTAGTTGTGGAGGACGTTGCTTCACTGGCCCATGTTGGTATTATCATTGTGCTCTTCCCGGGTCAGGCAGTCACTCGCTGGCCATTGGACGGTTGCTCACAGAGGCTCCCAAAAGCTCCCGAAAGCTCACACCCACTGCCTGCTGCTCACTGCAGCCTATGCCATCACAGGTGACACATGGAAGCCCAGCTCCAGGTCGAGCTGTTGTTCACCATCTTAGCTGTAGAGGGCGCAGCGTCACTGGCCCTCATAGGTGGGATCGGAACCGGGGTCCCTGTTGCTCAGAGCCCTCATCCCAAGTCAACGCCTAACCAACGCACCACTCAGCCAGCCCAAAAAAAAAATATATATATATATATATATATATATATATGTATGTATGTATATATATATATATATATGTATATAATATATATAATTTTTTTTTAGCTGAGCCATCCTGCCACCTGTTGGCAGCTCAGCTCGGGCCAGGCATCTGAACCGCTGTTGCTCAGAGCTCAAACTCTTGAGCGAGCTCTTAACCAACTGAGCCACTCGGCTGGCCCCCAAAAGATATTTTCTTAAGTGCTTCCTTTTTACTCAGTAAAACACTGGAGTGACAGTTATTGTCCAAAACCTCCACTGCACACACACCTAGAGACACTGACCGAATAATGGTGGGAGAGTGGGTTTCAAAGGTTCTGGAATCTAGGCTCTGAAGAGGGAAGGACCTCTAAACCCAGAGAGCTAGAGGGGCTGGAGATCTGGGGGAGGCTTGCTAGGGCTGCCAAAGTTGAGGACTAATGGGGGGTGGGGGGAGCTGGGATAGGGAAGCTCAACGGAGGCAGGAAGGACATTGTGTGTAAGCCTGGGTGCATGGGCGTACACTCACATGAGGCGGAGAACACCAGAAAAGGGGGGCAGTTAACAAGTTGAGCGTGAGTAGGGGAGAGGGAAGAACATCCAGGTGTGAGGCTCTGGAGAGATCTGGGCTAGAGGCAGGGATTTTGGAGTCACTTGCAATGATATCGAGGTCACCTGGAAAAACCACAGAAGATGACAAAAGATGAGTCCAGGGCTAAGGAATACTGGTCTTTGAAGAACAGGTGAGAGGTAGGAGTGTCTGGGGAGGAGGCTGGCCTGGGGGACACTGGATGAGCCTGACAGAGAACCAAGGGGAATGTCCCATGAAGGTGGTGCTCAGTGGTGATACTCCTGAGAGGCCCAACAGGATGGTCCCCTGGGAGGGCAGCCTAGCCCAGAACCCAGGGCTCCGGCCTTCCAGTTCTGGGCTCTCTCATCTTTTAGCCTGCTAGCTAACTTCAAGAAAGGTCCCAAACTTCTCACTTTGCTATAGGGAAGCCATTGATGACCAGAGTGGTTTCCATTAAGAGCTAAAAGCTGGAGCAAATGTGTCTGTGGTCATGAAGGTCAGGAAATCAGTCTAGAAGCGGAGACAACTCTTCCAAGGACAATCTTTGTGTTCCACACATTGGGCGACAGGGGTGGAGGGGATGGCAGAGGATAAACCCACTTGTGTGAAATGATGCCACTTACATAATGTTACCCACAGCTGTGTGTGCTTAAAAGGACCATAGCAACACAGTAACATCTGAGGGGAGGGATGCCAGGTGATTTTCACTTTCTTTGTACTTTTCCTGTATCATTTGAGTGTGTCCCAATGAATAGTTTCCATTTTAGTCTTCCTGACAAGAAAGACTATTTATATTTGGGAAAAATAAAGAATTCTGGTCATGAAAAGAAGCAAAATAGGGCAGCAACAAGAGGAAGAATGGAGGGCATGGAGTTTTAATTTTTTAAAGAGTGTTTTGTGTCCTGATGCTGCAGCAGGCTGTCCCTGGAAAGAGAAACAGGATTGACCACCTGCAAACTAAACTTTAAACCAATGTACATAGCAAAGGATCAGAAACAACTGTCCAGCAGAAGAGGGCTGGTTAAATGACCCCAGAATGCTAGGTAGAAAGACAAGGGGCGGGGGAGACAGATCAAAGTAGAGGGTGAAGTAGAAAGTGCACCTATTTGTGTGTGTGTGTGTGTGGGGGGATTATTATTATTTTAATGCACACACAGGCTTGTAGGCATGGAAAGTTTCCAGGAGGAAACCTAAGATGCTTTGAGAAGGTAGGGGATGAGCTGAGGATATTTATTTACTATGTATACTATGTACTCATGCTATTTTTTTGTATTAGAAAAATGTGAGAATGCACACATGCCCACGCACACGGCACGCACACACCCAGGGCACGCACACGCGCACATGAGTTAGGTTTGTTCTGCCCAAAGGCAAGAAGCCTAGGGGTAATTAGGAGCTGAATTTTTCCTGGTGGGGGCTCTTTGTACTGAATCTGTCCAGAGGGTCTTTTTTTAATGTCTCAAAGGCTGGCACTTGTGCTGCCCTCAGGCCTTCACAAGCAAGTGAAAATGAATGACATGGCCCAATAAGGAATGTAGCTATTAGCCATGGAATGGGGAGTGGTGGTGCCCAGAGAAACTTAAAAAAAAAGTCCTTAAACTGCACTCTAAGTGTCAGGGTTTACTGCTCACCCTGGAGCAAGAACAGATCAACTAAACCGGGGACAAGGCCAGACACTGGGACCTAGCACCACCACTAAGGAGCCCAAGCATTTTCTGATGCTTTGCTTTGAAACGCAGAATTTTGTTGCTTGGTGCCTCAGCTAATTGACCTCCATCTGACACTCTGGAGGGATTGCCTGATTAGATGCCACAGCTGCTTTGCTCATTATTTCTATTTAATAGCACCTGGTTTTTCTGGGCGATGGTGCCTGTTCAGGTGTGATCTACACAGCCAACAAAAGCGCAGTGGCTTTGCAGCCCCAAGGAGTTAGGTAGTGAGCACCGTCTTATTTAAGTCCTGGCCCCATGGAACACGTTTTGAACTGGCTCATCCTTGCTAGTTCTTTGCTGCAAATCTGAAATAACTGACGTATGCTAAGTGAATTCATCTGAGAAGTTCATTTTAACACTAAACAATTACACTTGACCTGCACCCCTCACTACCAGATATTGTTATAGTTGTAAATTGATACTCTGGCACCCTGTTTTGGGGTCCAGAGTTTCTCAAGAGACGGGATCAATTGTATGTGTGGACAAGCCAGGCTTCTTAGCTTAAAGGCTGAGGGCAAGAGGCCCCTCAGGAGACGGTATTATCTTTCTGGTGGTACCCACCCTTCCCATGAAAACTTCCATTAGTCCTTAGGAGCTGCTTAGAATCCATCACCAAAAATAATACCTGATAAATCTAACACCTGTCAGGAAAAATTGTGAAAGACTGAAATGGGCAAAAAGATTATTTGATTCCATAAGAGCCTGTGCCTTTCCTAATCTTTGACAGTATTTTGCAATTCTGTAAACTGTAGAAAATCGATAGTAATGCAAACAGTTGCAAACGATCTTGTCCTTAGAGATGCAATGGATTTCTGCCCTGTGGAAGAGTCATTTTTGCATCTATCATCAAATTCATCTCTGCATTTCTGATTACCTTTATATAAAATCTGTTCTTTGTGTTATCCTTTGAATCAGTTGTTTAGCTTCCCTCAATGAATGTTAAAACAAGATGTTTGACACATTTTTATTTTGTATTTGTATGATCGTTTTACTTTTTCCCCTTTGTCTTTAACATACCTCATCTCCCTTTTCTCCCTGGCTACCAGGAAGCACAAAGGCAAAGTTTTAAACCTACACACAAAGTGTTGACTCACTGCGAGTTTCACAGGATATAACAAGAAGCTTCCCCAAACACTTACAGTCATAAGCAATGGAAATCAAGACAACTCGCAACCCTCTGCTATCTACCTTTCCCACTCAAGCTCCACCTTGAAGCTGGAAGCAGGGCCCTCGGACATTACTGCCTCTTGGGCCATCCCTGGGGGCCAGCTTGGGGGCCAGCTTCACGCTGAGTTGAGGCCCATCTGGAACTGCCTGGGGCTGATTTTCAGGGTCACTTCCTAATCACACTTCCTTCCCACACCAGACACAAGCCACTTCCTCTTTCTGCTGAGGACAGAAGTTGAATGAAGAGATGAGTTCCCAGGGTGTTGCAACATCAGGGAACATTCAAGCAAGTAACGGGTGGGTATTCAGGCAGGGACGGTCCCCCGGGGTATCCTGGGAGTAGCCGTTGCTTATAGAACAGCTCAGACTACCATGCTGGACACCAAGTGTCACATTAATCCCCGAGATAATTCTGAAGTTGAGAATTTCCTCATCTGAAACAGGACGCTGTTAAGCAGGAGGAAACAGACTCGGGGGTAGAGTCGGGTGGTTGGGAGACAGTCCATCTGGCTTCAAGAATCCTGCTGCATGAATCAGGGTCCCAGCCCCCCTGCTCTACTCACACAGCCTCCAGCCATTTCTATTATTCCCATCCTACAGGTGAAGTGACCTGCCAAGCTGGCAGTGGCAGGGAGCCAGGCTGGCCTTCTCAGCTTCCAGGCCATGCCCTGCTGCTCCAGTTGATCTTCCTGACATGGATATCCATCCATGGCACTCAGAGCCCTTGAGTGGCTCCTTTCCGACTTTTCCTCAGCCCTACAAGGCCTCCCTCTCCACTCCCCCATCCTTACTGGACTTCCAGGCCCTCCATTCCTCCAGGGCGTAGGTTCGCCCGGTCTCCCCTCCCTCCTCACTCACCTTCCCCGTTTTGCCCAGCTAGGACCTGCTGGTTCTCTGAGGATTTGCCCCAGGGTCACTGACTCCAGGAAGCCGACCCCTCCGACCCCTAGTTGCCGGAAAGCATGATGCATATATCTTGTTTTAACTTCTCTCTTCTGGATGCAAACCCCCTGACCCAGTGCACTTCAACACACACCTGCATCATGGGGGATTTTGTTAAGATGCAGATTCTTAGGTCTAGGATTGGGCCTAAAACTGTCCTTTCCACAAATCCCCAGGTGATGCCAACGGTGTTCACAGACCACACTTGGAGGTGCAAGGAACTAGGTCAAGGACCTTCCTGTACTTCTTAGACCCAGAATCACAAAACCCTACTCTGAATGTACTTTAGACATCTGCCTTTATACCCGTGTCAACGTATCTGAGCTTCTGACCTCAGCCAGACACAAGGCTAGAGACAGAGCCATAAGATTCAGCATTTAAGTGCCTGTTGGGTCCGTTCAGTTTATGCCTAACCACCCTGCCCAGCAGGTACCAGCCTGTTTTACCACGGAGGATCCAAGGACTCACAGCAGGTAACAAGCAAAGCAGAGATCCCACAGTGAAGGCGACCTTCACCCAGTGAGTCAGGTCTGGGGTGAGGTTGGAGCCAGCTCAGGGCCAGCCACTCTGAGGAGCTTTACAACCCTCAGCAGAGGAAGCACGACCCCCTCCCCTGGAGGGGGGGGTCACAAGCTCCCTCGGCACCGTTCCCTTGCAGGGCACTCCCAGGGGCTGTGGCCAGGGCATGAGAGGAAGGCAACCTATGTGGGGAGAATGACGTGAAGGTGTGAGGGGCACAGAAGCAGCTCCCCTCGGCAACAGGAAGCGCAAAGGAGATCCCAGCCCTCCTGAGGCACCCACCTTGGAGCCAGTGACTTGGCTACCCTGTCACATTCACACCCTTAGATGCACCCCTCTACAGCAGCTTCAGGCTAAGGTGACCATTGCCTAGACCACTGCCTTAGATGGTCACCTCTGGCCTTCAAGTTCTCTGCCATATAGACATGTGGCTTTATGCCTGCTGCCCTTAGGGAAGGGGGCTAGAAGTCCTTCAGTCCTTTCCTCCCCACACCACCTCCAAATCAGATCCACGGGGCCCAGAGACACACAAGACCCTTGGCTAGCCTGGAAGTAGAGCAGGCAGGGCCCACTCCACTTTTGCCCCCAACAGCCTTTATCGTGACCTCCTTGGAGACATAACATTATAGTGGCCCCTGGGAAGATAAGCCTTGCCCCCAGGAAGGACGTGCTGCTCAAAGCCAGGAAAATGCAGGCTTGCCTTCACAAACCAATCTGGCCTCTCCTCCGTCTAGACAGGCCAACTCACATGAGAGGCGCAATAGTATTTAAATTGTGCTATTTGAACCCGCAGCACTGTTTTTTTACAGTCTGTCCCCTCCCCAATACAACCACTCCTCATTCACCCCCATCCAGGGTCATTGCGCTACACCCCAAAGGTTACTTCTTTTATTGGGAAGCATACACAGGGCACATCACGGGGTGGGAAGCAGCCTGACGCCTCCTGGCAACACCCAGGACAACGGCAGCCAGAGTCAGGGATGTCACCATTGCTAGGCCTAACCCCAGCATCACGGAGGTGAGAGACGAGGTCGACCCCTCCACACCGTGGTCACTAGCCTTTCCCAGGAAGATCAGCGGCCCCACTGTGACATCTGCTGCTTCTGTCACTGAAAGACAAGACATCCAAGGGTCACCTTAGTCCCGCACCAGGAACCAGGTTAGGGGCTTTGCTCTGCCTCAGTGGGCTGAACTAATAGATTGTTTTAAGTAAGCAAGCCCAGAGCGGCTGGTTAGCTCAGGTGGTTAGAGCGCAGGCTCATAACACCAAGGTTGCCGGTTTGATTCCCACATGGGCCAAGAAGCTGCGCCCTCCACAACTAGATTGGAACAATTACTTGACTTGGAGCTGATGGGTCCTGGAAAAACACACTGTTCCCCAATAAAATTAAAAAAAAAAAAAAAAAAGAAAGCAAGCCCAAAACTGCATCTCCCAGGGCTAAGCAGCCTTAAATGGGGAACAAGGAAGAAGGATGTCTGAAGTGACAGCAGGTGCCCTAGACTGAGGGAAGTGCAATAGCCCTGAGGCCGACCCAGGACCTACCATGCCTGCGGCTGCGGGAAGATTTGTGCCACTGTCCCACTAGCCTCCTGGAAAGACCTGGGATGCCACAGCTACCCTTGTCACAGCATTGACAGATATCAGCAGTGCCTTCTACTGGGGACCAGCTGAGAGGGAAAGACAAGAGGATTAGATGGCTGTGTTGCCTGCAGGAAGCAGTTTGCTGATAATGCTCATGTTGGGGGAACAGACAAGGATGACTGATCAGGCTTTCTACCCCAGCCATGTCCAATCTGGTCTCCTCACCTATTAGAGGACTTGCTGAAGGAACAGGCTTTGTTTAGTTGGTCTGGGACTCGGTCAGCTGGAGTGACCTTCAGATGGCAGGTGATATATATCTGGAAGTAAAAGCAGCTATCACTAGGTGGACCCCTAAGCTGTGCCAGTGACTTTAATAAGCCAGTTCTTATACAACCCTTAACCCTTGGGGGAAAGAGTCTCAATTCAGAGCTGGGGCAACAGAGGTTCAGAGGTTAATCTGTCTAAAACTTCAGGGCAAGTAGCAAATTGGATTCTAAGTTGTAACCCCTCATCTTTATTGCCCCAGTCTTTCCCAAACGTTTCCAATCACTTAGCATGCCCAACCTTGGCCTATTAAGTTGGAACCTCAGGGACAGGGCCCCAGAGGCCCAATATGCCCCCAACCACCTGGGATAGGGGGAACTTTGACAAGCCAGGGCTCAGGTCAGCCCTGGTCCTCTTGACAACAGCATCCCCTGCCAGAGGTTCCACTTCATACTCTAGATGGTACATCAACAGCTCCCTGCCAGCCCTGCAAGAGCACGGAAATTCCACCACCTTCTCTCCTATTCCTTCTGCAGAGCCACAAACCTTGGCCACCACCTAGTGGCCAAGAACACAGTCAGGGAAACCATTTCAGAAACGAACAAGCCAAGATGCACCTCTAGCCACTTGCCTTCTATCTGTCCCACCAAAGAAAGTTTCCAAGGCCTTTGGAGTCCCTTTCCAGGAAGAGAACTGCTTTTATCCTCAGCTTTTTTCCCCCAGTACGTACATTTTTCTGACGCTAACTAGGGCCTAAGACCCTAGAGCAGTTTTCCATTGGCTCTTGAGTATAAGGTGCTCCTTCTGCCTTGTGCCATGGCTACAGTCAGGCACGCCATTCCGCCCACCTGCGAGGGAGAACCCTCCCAGAGCTCAGGCTATCTTTCATTGATCAGCATCATCCTCTGGTCTCTTAGTTACCCTCCAATCCCTGGAGATGCCGATACCAGCTCAGGTTTCACCCATGCTGATGGCCACCACCTGTATGAAACCTTATCCCCATCCTCCCCACTGGACCACCTCTAAAGTCAACATCAACTTCCTACCCCAAACAGGGAAGTACACAGGTGTTTGCTATAAAATTCTTTCAGCCTGATGTTTGAAGATTTTCGTAAGATGTTGGAGAAAGGTGGTGCCAGTCCCCACCCCCATTAAGTGAAAATACACGGGATTATATACAAGTAGCAGTAGGTTTAACCTTTTTAGGTGGTCAGCATAGAGCCAGGGTTGAAAACCTGTTTTAATCATGTCTCACTCCTGACTAGCTAGTCCAAACCTTACATTCCGCCCCCACTCCTATCTCAGGAAACTTGTTTTAAAATCTACTTGATTTTTATTTGTAAGATTTTACCCGTCCTTTCTGGCTAGAGGCCAGTCCTTCTACCTGTGCTTCCTGCCCCTTCTGTTCATACCTCAGGCATCAGGAGCAGTCCACATCTTAGCTCCTACTTCCTTCATCCCCTTAGTGCCAAGTGGGCTTTCTAACTTAGTGGTTCTCAAGGGGTGGCCCCCAAATCTGCAGCAGCCACTGGAGACTTGTTTGGAATGCAGATTCTAGGCTCCACTCCAGACCTACTGAACCAGATCTTGGAGGTGGGGCCCAGTAACCTAATTCAACAAGCCCTCCAGGTAATGCTGATACATTTGGGTTTCAAAAAGTCACTGTTCTAACCTGTGATTAAGCTCAAGATGCTACCCTATATGAAAAGAAGTTCATACAACAACATGGATAGACCTAGAGGGTATTATGCTGAATGAAATAAGTCAGACTGAGCAAGACAAACACTGTATGATCTCACTTATATGTGGAATATGAAGAACAAAATAAACAGAAGCAGACTCAGATACAGAAAATAAACTGATGGTTCCAAGATAGGAGGGGGTAGGGAGGCTGGGTGAGAAAGGTGAAGGGGTTAAGTACAAATTGGTAGTTACAAAATAGTCATGGGGATGTAAGGTACAGTATGGGGAATATAGTCAATAATATTGTAAAAACTATGTATGGTGTCAGGTGAGTACCAGACTTATAGAGGGATCACTTCATAAATTATATAAATGTCTAACCACTATGCTACACACCTAACACAAAATACTGAATAATTGAATAGCCACAACGATGTAAAGTACAACAGAGAATATAGTCAATATTGTAATAACTATGTATAGTGTCAAATGGGTAATAGACTTATTGGGTTTATCACTTTGTGAGGTATATAAATGTCTAATCACTACGTTGTTTTGTATAGCTGAAACAAATATTGTGTGTCAACGGTAATTGAAAAATAAATTTTAAAAATAGCTCATACCCACTTTCCTTGCCCTTTTAGAAAGCCTCCAGGAAGGCTGACACCTGCTTTTGTCAACTCCTTTATTCAACCCACCATCATCTGGGTTCTGGCCACATTGATCTTGGCAAGGACAAGATCAGTCACCAAATGCCATAGTCGTATAGTTGTGTTCATCTTATTTGAGCTGTCAGCCAAGTCTCCTGAGTTCCTATTCTCCTAGTTTGTTCTATTTCTAGGACTCCTGATTCTCTCCGTCTTTTATGGGTTTCTATCTAAGGGTTTGTGTCAGCCATGCCTTCTCCTTGAAGATCTCACTAGAGCCCATGGCTTTACTTGGTAAGTTTGTGGAGTTACTAGGATGGAGCAGAGCTAGTAAGTGGTTGTTTAAGGGGACAGCTAGTAAGCAATAACAGCAGACAGTAAGCCTGATCAGCCTGACCCCTAAGGTTCAGTCTTACTCCAGGGTATTCAAAAAAGCTATTACCATGTTTCTGGAGTCGTTAGCAAAATGGAACACGTCCACTGTGAACTGGAGGGTCTCTGGCCCGGGTCTGGGTGCTCTGAAAGCAGACGAGGCATCATAGAGGCCATCCACGAGACAACTTTGAAGAGAATGAGTGAAGAATGGAGTTAAGGCCAAGGAAGGTGGTATAGATCATGCTGTTATGAGGGTTCCCCAGAAAGGCAGCCCAGCCCTCACCCATTGAAGTCCACGATGGTGTGATAAGGGGAGGCATTTCGGCCTGGCGTCGGCGTGGCCACACAGTAGTCCACAAACAATCGCAGTGGCACATGGCTGCCAGTATGGACTTCGGCCTGGAGGTGGGCTATATCTCCCAGCTGGAAGGTGGGGGACCTCTTCTTAGTGCTCCAGTTCTCTGAAGGGCACAGCCAGGGGTGAGAGACCACCAGAGCTCCCCCTGCCAGCTCCCCCTGCCAGCCCTCCTTCCTTACCCTCCATCAGGTGCAGGGAGAAAACCAGCTTCTCCTCCGAGAACACCGTGGTCTTGAAGGGCACCCAGGTGGGCAGGATGGCCTGGCTGCTCACATTGCCCTGCCTGGGGAGAGAACAGGAACTGCCCGCACCTGGTCTGGGGCTCCCTTCATCTGGCCCCACATTGGAGGGGGCGTTCCCTTTTATCTCATTGCGAAGTCTTCAGCTGTGACCCAATCAGACAGCCAGTCAAGGAAGCCTGAGCCTGTCCTTTAACCTCCCAAACTCAGCACCTGTGAGTGGGCCCACCCCTTCCAGCTGTGAGGACAGCTGGCTTATAGCACAGAAGACAGAAATCTCAAGTTACTTTTGTTTCTAGACCCACGTCTGCTCCTTGTTAAGGTTCAGCCTTGAGGCTCAAGTTTGCCGCCTGAGGCAGCAGTCTCTCTCGGCACTACTCAGACTTCTTGAGGCCAATCCTGGTGAAAGCAGCCCTTTAGAGATAAATGCAGGTTCTTGAGAATCAGTGAGATACTGAGGCTGTACTGGGAAAGGAATTCCCTGGAAGCACTCAGATGTCTCCAGACATCTGCCCTCCAGACATGCTGACCCGATGGGGTCTCATGGAAGAGACTACTTCAAGGGCTGCATCTGAGAACCAGGCCTCAGGTAGCGGGAGCTAGGTTCAAGTGTTTCAGGCGGTGGCAGGCCACCCTACACTGTCTGTAGCCATCAGGCTAGGTGAACTAACCTTCTCCGTTCAATCCCAGGCAGAGCAATTCTGAAGTGAGAGATGGCTGTGGCCCAGGAGGCCTTCAGCCTCTCTGGCCAATAGGAGGGCAGGTTGGGAGTCCTGTCCTTGGTTCCTCCATGTCCCATACCCGACAGGGTCAGGCACCCAGCTCCTCCAGCTTTCCTTAGCTCCCTCAAGTTAGCTCCCTACACCCCTGCTGCCCCAGATCAGGTCTTGTCATCCTAGTCTCACAGCTGGTCTGACCAACTCCCATCTGTCTCCCATACAGGCTACCAGAAGAACTTGTGGGTTGAGAAGCAGTCCTCACCTATTCTGCATAGTACTCAGGGAGAGGTGCCCGCTGAAGTGTGAGCCTAAACACCTTCACTGCATCTACTGGCCCTAGAACCCATCTGTCCTCCTCCTTATATTGATTAGGCCCTCGGCTCCAGGCACTCAGGCTGCAGCATTGATGACAGACTGCCCTCCCCTGGGGTGTGTGTAGCTCTGCTCAGAATGTCTCAGCCCCACCTGTCTCAAGGTTCCATCCCAGGGTCTTGTTCTTGGAACGTCTCCCTCGACCCCTCCCCAGTCACATGGCTCATGCGTTGTGCCCCCAGGGTTATCAGCACACACACCCCTCCTTTAAGGGGAAAGGACAGAGATTAAGGCCCTACACACTCTGCATTCAGCCTAGCTAGCACAGGACTCAGCACTGTGTTAGAACATACCTCAATGCCCAAGTTTATAGGCACTGCTTAGTGTTGGGGCTTCCCCCACCCACACTCATGTCCTGGGGGAAACCACAGGAAAGGAGCAGGTTGTGGTGGTCAGAGCCTGGAACCTCTCCCTATACTATTGAAAAAGTTCTGAACTCCAAGGAAGCCTGGGCTGGGCAGCCCTGCAGTTTCCACCAAGAGGCAGCTGTGGCCCAGGTGCATTTCAGAGGCTCAGAGCAGACTCAACAGGCCCCCACCCCAACCAGGGCTGAGGGCAGTGACCACAGCCCAAGCACTTCCACCTTCTTGCAGCTATGCCACGGAAGCTGCCAAGAGGCTGACGAGCTGCCTCACAGGCAGCGACAGGCCTGTCCCATACTGACCTGGGGAAACGGCACTCGATGGGCACCTCGGCGAAGTTAGTCCTCAGGATGGACAGGTTTCCCACAGGGCGGGGTTTGTGGAGCAGGAAGGTGCTGTACACCAGGGCATCCTTGGTCACCTGAAGGAAATGGAAGGGATCAACCCCACCAGCTTCACCTGCCCCAACCCATGCAAGGGCAAAGGGAGGGCAGCCCACAGGGGCTGGAGAGAACACAGCTTCTGGGCATAAAGGCTGCTCTGCTGCTGACCCCTGGATGGGTACCACCCTCACACCTCTGTTGTTTTCACCCCTGAAGTGTTGATAGCACCACAGGGGTCTGGCTCAGCTCCATGTCAGGCACCAAGCAGGTACCAGAGGCATTGGACACATGTTCCCCTCCTCATGCTGCCACCCCCCTACCGCAATACAGTTTCCTTTTCCAGGGGAAGCCTGGGGCCAAGAAAACCCCAAAGATGAAGCCAGAAAGTTCCAGGAACTTTAACTTATTGCCACAGCAGTTAACACTTATGTTGCCCTCCCTCTTCTGACTTGTTCTCAAGCCCGTTCACAGAAAGCGATTCTGTTTAGTGGTTGCCTGAGGCAAAAAGCACAGGTAGGGACTAGTGGGGGCAATTTGCACCTTCCAATCAAGCTGCCCAGGAAGTTACCTGGGGCCCAAGTGGTTGCCTGGCCCACCCTAACCCCTCCATCTTCAAAGGAGAGTCCTAGCTTTCTGTTAACAGTGCCCCAGATGGACCAGCTGCATAATTTGTGGGGCCCAGTGCAAAATGAAAGTGTTCAAAAGTTAAGAATCTTAGGACAACAGGGCATTAAACCAAGCGTGGGCCTATGGGACTGCACAGGTGTCATTCCCAGGCAGCTCCAGCCCTGGCCCCAGGTGATCCTTATCAGGAAAGATTGGGAAGCACTGGAAATCGCAGGAAACACTGCACTGGAAAAGGAGTTGCCAGGTTAGTTGGAGTCACCTGGGATCTTAAAGATACTGCTATCTGGCGCCCACTTCCATTCCAATTTAGTACAGGGTATGGGAATCATGATTTCTTAAAAGCCCCCAGCTGAATCTAGTGCACAAGGTTTGAGAGTTACTAAATTAGAATAATTCCTTAAATAACTCCTGCACCTCTCTGGCCCCCTTCTCTCCTCAGAGATACAAGAGGCCAGGAAAACTCCAGACAAACCCTGGGAACCACACCTACGACCAGAGCTCTGATGGGGGGCTCCAGGGGCTGGGCTTGTCCTGACCCAGGCAAACTACTGAGACTTTAGTCAAGGCAGGGGGTAGAGGGGAGGAGCATGACGGAGGAGAGGCTAGGTTCTCCATGGGGCAGCAGGAAGTCAGTCCAGGGGATCTTGGACCAGCTAGGATCTGTGTCCAGGCCAGCCCTGCCTTGCTGGAGAGCCCCTCCTTAAAGTCTGAGTACAGCAATTTCATTATAATTTTGATGAGATGCCCTAGAAACTTAATTCTTGTATATATCAGTTAGCCTATGGTAAAATTGGTTTTGTTATACACTGTTTTGCTTAAAGTCACAGAACTTATCATTGGTATTAAGTGAAACTTACTGTATCTGTCTTCTCTCCACAACTTGAGGGAGGTGGTCTGGCCTAGACAACTCAGCTCTCCTCCTGCACACACCTTCCATTTTAAGCCCCCCTCCCCCCACACACACACACACACTTGGGATTGCCCCCAGGGGCCCAGTTTGAGTCTTTAAAGTCTTCAACAGATGTGGTCCTGATGTCCCTTGACATCCCCCTACCCTGCAAGTGGAAGGGAGCTGCCCCAGCCCCACTTCGGACTGGCTCTGCACCCGCACTCCCCATCATTGATCACCTCCCATGTCCTCCCACCAAAGCCAGGGCTGCCGAGGGGGCCCAAGCCTCACCTGCACGCCGTTGCCACACTCATGTAGCCCAACCTCAAATCTGACCGTATCATCCATGTCTGTAGAGACCAGGGGCTCACAGCCCTCAGGGCCCAGGGTGAGGTCTGCAGCCTTGATGAGCTTCCCAGTGCCAAAAAGGTCTTTGCTGACAATGACCACAAGCTGGGCCTCCAGACACTCCACCACTAGGGGTGGCTTGGATTGCACGGGGTGGCGGGCCCCACCCTGCCAGAGGGGCTGGGGGTAGCACAGCTCCATGCCTCCCCAGAGCAGAAGGCAGATGAAGAGCCCATAGCTCAGTGCCATGATGCCTACCGACACTCCACTGGTAACTGCTGGGTACCTACCACCCACTATCTTATACCCTCGTGATGGCCACGTACACCTGGGCTCCCACCTGCCTCCTTCCCCCAGCCAATCCAGTTAGCTAGGCCCTTGCTGCTCAAACTGACCACCCACCCACCACCACCACCACCACGTAGCAGCATGGGCATCACCTGGAGCTCGTTAGAAATGCAGGCTCTTAAGCCCACCCCAGACCACCGAGTCAGAATCTGGTTTTTCGCTATCTCCCCAAATAATTTGTAGTCACATTAGAGTTAGAAGTGTGGGCTGACAGCCTGCTCAGTCGTATTTCTCACCCCTTTCTACTCCCACCCCATGTGTCCACCCTTTGCTAGCCATGCCCTCGTAACCCAGCAAGGGAGCTAGGGGCTGTCCCAGGTTGATGGGGGAGACAAGGAGAAAGGTCTTGATTGAATGGTGGGAAGAATTTGATCAGAGACAGCAGGGAGCTCATTCCAAGTGAGAACAGGAGGAGACATCATTAGGAACCTGGGAATTTTATGGGCTGATGCCCAGTATTATGGGAGGTGGGTGGGGAGGTCAGTTTAGGCAGAGGCAGCTGTGTGAAGAGAGGTGTAGAAAGGGCACTGGGTGGGCTTCAGGGAAAAACCCAGGAGCTCAGAGTTGCTGGAACCTGAGGGGGGGGTGCAAGGGGGAGCAGTGGCAGTTTAAGGGTCTCATGGGTGAGGAAGGCCCACCTGGTGCTGAAGCAGGTGAGTCAATTGGCTAGCTCTGGCTGGGAAGCCCGGACTGGCGACAAGGGTCAGCAGGCTACGGCACCTGTGCTTGTGGGCGAGCAGGAGAGGATGGAGAAGGGTTGACAGGGTCCGCATTTACTGATGGACGACTCTGCCAGGTCTGGGTGAGACTTCTTCGGGAGGGGGGCAGAAATACAAGAATGAATGGCGCTTAATTCCCAGGGGCAGAAGTGTGTACTCACTTGCAAATACTTGCTTCTAAAGTAATTGAACCATAAATTTAAGTTGTTAAAATACCGCCATGGTGGTTTTTTTTTTCCTTTGGTTGTGTGTTCATTTTTTTAATATTATATTTTAAAGTTTACTTGTGGGAAAATAGATAAACCGAGGGAAGAGATAACCCCCACAATTTCCTTTGACCTGATTAACGTAACGGTGTGTGTGTGTGTGGGGGGTGTAGAGACAGAAGCAGGTGAAATCTCAGAGCTCAGGCTTTCAAGCACACCGGTGGCCTACCACTTCCCTCTGGGTTTCCTGCCTACCAGGCCCGGAGGGAGGGAACAGCTGTGGCCTGAGACACCTGAGGGACAGCTAGCTGGGGAGACCATATCCTAGGAATGGGGGCCCACCAGGAAAGGGGCCTTTCCATGCTTGTTACGCACAGCTGTGTTTGCAGATTATGTAGGCAGTAGAGGGGGGTGGGCTGGGGATGAGAGATCAGGGTCTCCCTGAAGCCTCATATTTATCCCCTTTTCCTCTCTGCCTCAGAGCTAACCCCCTTTAGGAGACTTCAGGAAAATGATATGAAGGAATTGGTGAGGGTGGGGTTGAAACCAGAGGGCAACCGAGTCCAGGGTTCATGCTGCCTGTGCCGCTCAGCCAATAGACAGACATAGGAGCTGGGCTATAGGATGAGCGTTTATTGTCAGAGCACCTGAGATCTGAAAAGGCAGCAGGTTAACACTTTCAAAATTGCCTTAACATTCTCAGACCAGCTTAGGGTATTTAAAAAAAAATCAGGGCATTCTTCTAGAGACTGCATAATGGTCCAGGAGGTCTGTTCTTCATGGTGCCTCCCTCTGTCATCGCAACTCTGGTGGCGTCAGCAATCCAGGAGCGTGATGGGAGTAGCCTGGGAAGAGTGCTGAGCAATAGAGTTTGTAATCAGCTATCAAATGGGCATGAATTATAAGCTACAGGGTAATCTTCTAAGGCAGCGGTTCTCAACCTTCCTAATGCCACGACCCCTTAATACAGTTCCTCATGTTGCGGTGACCCCCAACCATAAAATTATTTTTGTTGCTACTCTATAACTGTAATTTTGCTACTGTTATGAATCGTAATGTAAGTACCTTTTTGTTTTCCGATGGTCTTAGGCAACTCCTGTGAAAGGGTTGTTCGACCCCCAAAGGGGTCGCGACCCACAGGTTGAGAACCGCTGGTCTAAGGCAAGGAACTGGGATGGGGGCAGGGCATTTGGGAGGCACTGAGCTCAAGCCGATTTATTGTTTATACAAGATGGAAAGGTGAGGCCAGGGACAGAGCAAGGCTCCTATTACAGGGGTACCAACCGGCCCCCTGCTTCAATTCCCCACTGTCAAAAGGTAAAGTCTATGTCTATGAGGCTAGTTTGAAGTGAGATTCTCCACTGTGGCACTGAAGGAAGACTTGAGCTTCTAATGTCCATTGGCCCTTCAGCAGCCAGCTGGCAATGGACCTACAAGCAACAGGAAATAGAATACAGCAGCAAGACATAAGCTCTATTACTATAAATAAAAAGAAAAAAAACTGCTTCCCTGAGACCAGCAAGGCTGGGGAGCCAAGAAGTGAGTCAGAATAGATCAAAGCCAAAGAACCCTTTTCTCTGTTCAATGTTAGATACGATATTATGGATTTGTTTGACCTTCTCTTCAATTAGCTGGGAATTATCTGTAAGGTTAAAGCAACAAAGTCTTTTAAATTCTTCACATCTATGGTTGTGTCTTAGCAACAAAAACTTTGTAGAGGCTCTATTTTCAAGCAAGGCCTCTCTGACCGGTCCTAGTTCTTCCCTGATTGTATGGGTGGCCTGAGAGGCGGCATTCGGGGCTTTTACCATAGAGCAGACCATTAAGCTGATTTCTATATTCAGGGCAATAGTCATGGCCGACACTACAAATAGAGACAAAGCTACATACTCAGCCGGACTAAACAAGCATAGCTCACTATTACAGTCGGGGGCCTAAAGCAATTTCTCTGTGATGTCTGGTTGGGTGGGGTCTTTGTAGCATAAAAAACGGTTAACCTTCCAAGGGAGCAAGGCCCTCCTGTACTACTGGTTGTATTATACATAAGAATAGACAGTCTTTCCACGTATGAGAAACCACCCAGCAGGTAACTTAACATGTTCATTGGTGTAACTCATTGAGGTGGCGGAACTGCAGTTCAGCTCCTTATCAGCTGTAACGACAAAACAAGAGTTAGTAAAACCGGTACCGTATTTGCCGGCATATAAGACGATTTTTTGGCCCTGAAAAATATGCCTCCAAGTGGGGGGTCGTCTTATACGCCAGGTACACTTCAGATAGACTGCCCATAGTGCTTGCCCCGTGCCATAGTGGCCTCCCGATGCCCGCCCACTTCATTCCACATACCGTTCAGGCATCAGCAGCGCTGCTGGGTGTATGCTCGGCTGTTATGCGATTTTGCGAGTGTGGTAAATTCGGGTTACCGTATATTTCTTTACATATGCATTGAAGATTCGCGATTTTGCGCTATCATAGTGCCTGTTAGAATGTTGAAGAGCTCGCACTTGCGCACTAGTGAGGTCCCAGGGAGATGCTGATGCAAGGGTGGACCAGACTGCTATAGTGACAGGGCGGGCAAACAGGGAGCAGGGACCAATCAAATCAGGCTTTGTATACAGCCAACAGCCAACCACAATACTGCACCATTGTACAGTACAGCATAGAAAATGTCGACCAGTCAAACCCCTATCATCCCTATCATGGCACCAGCCAAAAGAAAGAAGTATGATGCAAATTTTAAACTGAAAGTTATAAACTTTGCTAAGGAAAATAATAATTGTGCTGCTGCAAGACAATATGGAGTAACAGAAAAGATGGTTCGGGACTGGAAATCAAATGAGAAAGCATTAAAGAGTATGCCAAGGGGTAAGTGTGCATTAAGAAGAGGCACCCCACACTGGCCAGAACTCGAAAAACATGTAGCAGACATGGTGGCTCAACATCGCCAAAACGGTTATGTGGTGACACGAAATACAATACGCTTGTTTGCACTTCAGTGGGCCAAATCAAATCTGATATTGTTTTACCTTTTATTTGGTGTGTGGAAGGTGTGCGGAAGAGGGGGTAGTCTTATACGGCGAGTATATAACAAACTCTGTATTTTGAGTGGAAATGTTAGGGGGTCGTCTTATACGCCCAGTCGTCTTATACGCCGGCAAATACGGTAATTGTTACACATTCCTCTGCTGTGGTTACCGCAGAGACCTTGAGGGAAAATATGGTTCTGTCCTTCTCAGTGACAATAGGACCCCAGTTATAGATGTCAGAGAGTATGCCATAGGCTTGATAATAAATTGAAACAGGGTGTGATTCCTAATAGTCTGCAGTGGAGTACATACTCCTATTAAGCAGGAAGTAAAGGCCTGTTCTACATATGTCCCTCCTGAAAGGCGAAAGTCAGAAACATTAAGTACATGTTTGGCTAGATAAACCCAAACATTTTTGTTCCTTTCAAATGGTATTGGTCTCTCTAAGGAGCATCCTAGGAGGACTGCCATGAGAACAAGTATTTGAGGTCCCCTAGTGGCGTGGATTTCCATGTTGTAGTATCTTCTCTTCTATCTTCTAGTTCTGTCTTCTTTATTTTGGTGTGGTGAATACAGGGCTGGACTCTCTCAAGTTTGATGGTCGAGTCCATATTTAGGAGCACTGTTCATGATCTGGTCCATTGTTCATTTAGCTGGTCGACGGGTCCTTGTGTTTCCAAATTTTGAGTAATACTTTGTTCCTGGTCCCTCTGATGGGACTGGCTCTCTGTTAAGGGCAAATTTATGTATGGCCTCTATTACCTGGGTGAGTCCACTAAGATAATTCCTGACATGTAAATCATGGTTAAGTTCAGATGGAGTTATATCCCTCAGGGCCTGGAATGGTCTCCCATAAACAATTTCAAATGGATTTAATTTAAGCCTACTTTGGGGAGCTATCCAGACCCGCAGCAGGGCAAGTACTGTAGTAGTGCTTGAGTCCATGATAGCTGAGTTTTCTGGCAGAGTTTTGCTATGGTCTTTTTAAGGGTATGATTCATCTTCTCTATTTTGCCTCCATGGTGTGTGTAGCCTCCAAGTAATATTAAGGTACATACCCATGCCCTGAGTGATGGCCGAGATAAACAAAGGTCCATTGTTGCTTTGCAAACTTCAGGGGAGTCTGTACTTGAGGATGATTTCTCAGAGTAGTGCCTTGACTATGTCAGCTGCCTTTTATGTTCAAGTGGGAAATGCTTCTACCTACCCTGAGAAAGGATCTATGCATGCGAACAGGTACTGATAATTTCCCCATGCCCTGGGCATTTGAATGAAGTCAATTTGCCAGTCATTTGGGGGCAGCTGGCCTCTATATTGACCTTAACCTCTAGAGTCTGGATGCATCTTCGGATTGTTTTACTGGCAAATTGAGCATTTCTTAATAATGTCCTGTACTATTCATGTTAAGTGAATTCCAGGGATCCGGGGGGCTATGTAATCAAGTAAAGCATCTCGCCCAAAATGCGTGGCCTGTTGTATTTCTTGGAGAATAGATGGCAGGAGCAGAAGGGATGAAGATGTTGCCTTCAGGGTTAACTTTCCATTCTCCTATCTGTCTACTCAGTGTATAGCCCCTCTTGGATGCTTCTTGTAGGCCTATCTCTGAATAAACAGGCTGATCCTTTGTGATCTATTACAGGAAGTAGAAGCTATAACTGTATCAATGTGGGCTGCCTCCTTGGCTGCAAAGTTGGCCCGTCTGTTTCCTGTTGCCAGTTGATCTCCACCTTTTTGATGTCTGGGCAACGCATTATAGCTACCTGGGCAGGTTCTCAGACAGCCTCAAGTAGTTGTAAAATTTCTGAGGCGTGTTTTATTTCTCTCTTCCCTGCCGTAAGGAGGCCACGTTCTTTCCACAGAGCCCCATGTGCATGCAAAGTAAGGTGTACTTAGAGTCAGTGTAAATGTTGGTTTGTTTTCCCTTGGCTAGTTTAAGTGCATTAGTTAGTGTGATGCGTTTGGCCTTCTGGGCAGACATACCTGCAGATAAAGGTCGAGCCTCTATTGTCCAGTCCAAAGTAACTACCGTATATCCTGCTTTTCGTCTCCTGTTGTCAACAAAGCCTACTTCCATCCACAAAGAGTCCAATCTGTGTCCCAGATGGTCCGGTCCTGCAGTTCTGGCTGACTGGAATAGACTAATTCCACAGTTTCTATACAATCATGTGTTAACCGTTCATGGGGAAGGGGTAGCAGTGTTGTTGGATTTGGGGCAGAGATGGTCCAGAGTTGGAGGTTCAGATTATCCAGCAGGATGGCTCGATATTTACCCATCCATCCAATTGTCAACCATAGCTCGCCCTTTTGTTCTAATAACATTAACACCTGGTGTGGCACTAGTACAGTTATGTGCTGCCCAAGAGAGAACTTTTCTGCCTCTTGGACTAATTCACAGGTGGCAGCTACAGCCGGGAGGCATCTGGGCCATCCCTGCATTGTGTTATCCAAGCTCTTAGAAAGGTAAGCTACTGGCTGTGGAGCAGCCCCAATCATCTGGGTTAGTATCGTCAGAGCAAAACCTTCTTTTTCATGAACGTATAAGTGGAATGGCTTGGATATGTTAGGTAGCCCAAGGGCATGGGCAGAGCTTAACAGCTCCTTTAATTTTTGGAAGGTGATTTGACATTCAAGAGTCCAATCAAGGGGTAATTTTTCTCTCCTTTTAGGGCCTCTTATAGATGTTTGGTGATGAGGCCAAAATTGGGATCCAAATTCTGCAAAATCCAGTCATTTCCCAAGATCCTGTAACTGCCTCCTAGTTGTAGGAGTTTCCAGACCAGTTATAAAATCCTTCCAGGGCCGGCCGAGTGGCGTGTTGGTTAAGAGCTGGCTTGGGACGCCAGCTCTGAGTAGCAGGGCCCCGGTTCGGATCCCACATGAGGGCCAGTGACACTGCCCTCTACAACTAAGAAGGTGAACAACAGTTCAACCTGGAGCTGGGCTGCCGTGAGTCACTGGCGACGGCATAGGCTGCAGTGAAGCTGCAGTGGGCTGCCATAAGCTACCATGTGTGGCCAGCAGCCAGCGTGAGCGGCTGGTAGCTTGGTGTGAGCTGCCAAGAGCTGCTGTGAGCAGCCGTCCAGAGGCCGGCGACTGATCTGCCTCACCCAGGGAGAGCGCAATGATAATAACAACATGGGCCAGTGAAGCGACGTCCTCCACAACTAGACTGAAGAACAAAAGGACAGCAACTTGTCTGTTCCCCTTCCTTGATTCCCCAACGCTGTTCCCCTCCCCCCAATTCCCCAATAAAGTGTTTAAAAAAAAATCCTTCCAGACTTTGAGGAGGCTTCTCTTTCCAGGCTCAAGAAGAACCCCTAGAAAGGTGACCCAGTTTTTACAGATCTGGGCTTTTTCTTGGGAAACCTTGTACTCATATTCTGCCAGGTGGTTTAAAGTCTGTACTGTATTATTTAGGCAATCTTGTTCAGAGTCACTGGTGATTAACAAATCATCCACATATTGCAGAAGCGCTCCTTTTTCTAGTTGCAAGGTCTGCAAGCCATGGGCCAAGGCTTCCCTGAAGAGGGTAGGGGAGTTCTTAAAACCTTGTGGCAACACAGTCCAGCAATACTGGGTCCTCACAAATGAGTCTGGGTCTTGCCATTCAAAGGCAAACAGCTCTTGTGACTGTGGGTCTAAAGGTATAAAGAAATGGCATCCTTCAAATCCAGCCCAGTGTAGTACTGGGAAGTACCAGGAATGCCTGTCAATGAGGTGTATGGGTTAGGTACCATCGGGTGAGTGTCCTCCATAATTTCATTAATTGTTCACAGAGTCTGGACAGACCAGTATTTCTAAGATTTAGGTTTCTGAACTGGCAGAATGGGGGTGTTATATGGTGATCAGCAGGGCTGATGAAGGCCTAAATCCTTGAATTTCTGAATTAAAGCTTAGATGTCTTTCAAGGCTTCCTTTTTGAGGGGGTACTGTCTTTTTTTGGGAGTCGGCCCCTCTTTCAGTCTTATTTTTATTGGTTCCCTGCTCTTGGTCCTGCCAGGATTCCCATCTGCCCAAACAAAGGGACTGATGCGTAATAAGAAAGGAGAATCTTCTAACCTGTTTTCCAGCATTGTAGTTAGGCCTCTCCTTCCAGGAGCATCTGGAGCTGATACATGTTTTCAGT